AATTTAATAGAAGTAGAACTTAAGCTTTAGCAGTCGCATAAACTCTCATAGTTGTGTCTCAAGTGGTCAGAAGATTGAAGCACAAAGTCAGGAGACAGGACAGGAGCCCGGCCTCCCAGCTCCTAATGCTGGCCTTGAGGACAACTGCGTAAAAATCAGGAACAAAACGTAGCGATCAAAGTTGTCTTTTCCTTCTAGTTGCTGCAATAACAAGCTTGTTATTCTTTTCTCCTAGAAATAATGACTGTGTATTTAGTGTGAATGAACCTGCCACAGCCAAATTAGAAGAAATGCTTGGTAAGTGCAGTTAAATGAAGTGTGACGATTTTCACATTGTGTTTATCAGTACATGGCAAAACAAGAAAGTACACTGCGGCACCAAATACTTTACCAAAATGAGAGTACTAGAGTTCCAATAGGGACAGACAGCTGTTTCTGTGGTCTAGAATTTTCTTAAGTAAACTAAAGAAAAAGTGCAAAGAAAGTTAACCAAGGAAATACGGCCAGCATAAAAGAGCAGTTTTATGCAGCATGAAGATTCATCTCCTCACATGACCACTCTGAGTCAGAGGCGTGCCCCGCACGTTCTAGTCCTGGCGACGCCACCTCATTTCCATCCTTTGACGCATGCTCGTCCCCTCCTGTATTGGATTCCCTCTTCCCTGGGTGATGGATTAGGTCAGTGTCCACATCACACAGACTTCCTGAACTCAGAGGTGGGGGCTGACAGCACATCCTTGGGAGAAAGATCCAACCCTGACTCCTCTCTGGATCCTATCAGGATAGAAAGCAATAGTCCAGTCGAAAAGAGGCAGGGCCATTTGTTTATGGTTTACGGCTCCTGCCGTAAGTGTTGACACAAATATCGATAAACGGCCAGAAGAGGTTGGGAACACTTCTAGCAACGATGGGGCAATTTTAGAAGGAGAGGGTGTTAACATTTGAAAATCTGCTGGTTCTAATGAATAAGCACTGTCCTCGGGTGGATATTCTTACGAGCAGTGGGGTCGTACCACATCTTTGTTCGGTACGTTTGTCAGACCTGCATGGAAGAGCTGTTGGGATGAGGGGAAACCAGGACGGGGCTACAGTTCCAGGAGGACGGTTGAAGGACGAGGGTGGAAGGGCGGTGGAGTGGTTGACGCAGGTGCGGAAGGTGGAGGTTCTAGACCTTGTGGCAGAAGATACGTGGTCGACAGCCCAGCCTTTATATCACATCTGAAATCTCAGAATACGTAACCTTGAAACTTGATTTCAAGTTTGGTAAGAGGGGCGTGTAGCTAAAACAGACCCCCAAATCCTCCTCCTGTGAGGCTGATGGAATGGATTTCTCCATCACAGGAAGCAAAGGTAGTAGCTGTGAACATCCCCAAGCTCCCTAGACTTGCGGTTCCCAAAACACCGCGGGGCTCAGCACCTGACCCTGTCCCCGCCTGGCCCTGCCCCTACCTGGCCTTGCCCCCACCTGACCCTGTCCCCACCTGGCCCTGCCCCCACCTGGCCCTGTGGCACCAGCAACGCTAGCAGCTCTTGAAGCTTCCCCGCAGAGTCTATTGGTGTCCCCAGGGGTCCTGGTGAGCCTGTAAAGCTCTGCACACGTGTCTAGTCTCTCTTGGCCAGTGGCTGAAAAAACAGTTGAACAAGGTAAGGCAAAATCAACATCATTCTGTGAGCTGTCCCTCTTTTTATTGTAGGTTGTAAAGTGCCCATAGGAAAACCAGCCACTGCGAAACTTTAATAACCGCCAAACAGTTACGGAAGATTTGGTCACCTAGTCACTGTCATCAGAGGACTCTTATTACAACAGACAGGGAAGCAGGAAGAGATGCACCTCTTGTCCTTGTAAGACGGAGAACAGCGGACTCGGGAGAGAGGAGAGTGTCCCGGGTGAGCGGTCGGTGTGATCTCCCCAGCACGGTGGCTGAGAAGCGTTTGCATCCAACTCTTGAGAGGTTTAAAATAAAACAATCTTTTGGAAACATGTTTGGAAAATCAAAGCCCATCTCCTGTTTCTCTCACACTCTTCCACTTACTACATGTATTCAGCTTTTGTGCTGACTTCTGAATTAAAGTACAACGTCAGCACGAAGGCTCTGGCTGTTAAAAGAGAGCTGCTGAAAAGGGTGTCTCACATTTCTCGTGGCGTGCTCTAACCGAAGTTACCGCACACAAGGACACGTTTGGCAGAAGTAAGTTAAATTGGGTAGGGGCTAGCCAGTGAGTTCAGCTGGTTGGAGCACAGCCTTGTAACACAAAGGTCAAGGGTTCAGATCCCCATGCCGGCCAGACCCCAAATAAAAAGACACGTGTCTGGTTCCCACCCCAGTCCAATTAATAAAATAAAAATGAATTAGATAGCTTACTTTAAATTTGGCCACCCAAGGGCCTTAATTAACAAAACTAAAGTAGTCAAAGTATGTGCAACAAAGAGATGCATAAATACACTTAGAAATTCAAGGGAAGAGATGTTTGAAGCAAGGTAGGTGAACGGCGGGACCGTGGCCGTAGCCACCTCTGGAACAACATGTGAGCTGGGAATTGGCTGGAGTGGGGTTCAGGTGGCAGGGGAGGGAACGGTGGAGCAGGGTGTGAGGGGAGAGAATAGGGGCCAGCGTGGTTGGAACAAGAGTCACAATGGTGAGATTGCGGAGAAGGGCAGGGCCTTCGTCACTTGGACTGCCGTGACAAAACACCATCAGCCGAGCAGCTTAAACACAGACATATTTTCTCACAGCTCTGGAGGCTGGAAGTCCAAGATCGAGGTACCAGTAAAGTGGGTTCATCATGAGGCCTCTTTCCTGGGCTTGTCGGTGGCTCCCGTGTCACCCTGTGCTCACAGTGACCCTTCTTGGTGTGCTCCTGGAGAGCAAGCCAGCTCTCTGGTGTCTTTTGTAAGGATGCCAGTCCCCTCATGGGGCCCCACCCTCATGACCTCAGCCAGCCTTCGTCACCTGCAAAGGCCCCGTCTCCAGATGCAGCACACAGGGGTTTGGGCTTCAGCATGTGAACTTTGGGGGGTGGGGAGTTACAATTCAGCCCATGGCAGTGTCAGCAGTTGGCATCAACGGTGGCTTAGGGACTCTTGTGAACATTTGAATTGAAATCTAAGTGCCGGCTGGCCAGTTAGCTCAGCTGGTTAGGGCATGGTGCTGCTAACAGCAAGATCAAGGGTTTTCAGATCCTTATACTGGCCAGCTGCCAAAAACCCCACCATTTGTGTGCTCAAGGACAGCTGTTTGTTTCTGCCTACTTTGTGGGAATACGGCTGACCGGTCTACATCCGACCAGTGGATGCCCCGGTCTCTGCATCTCAGGTTGTTGGGTGTTCTGGGCACCCATGCAGGCTGCAGCAGCCTGTCCCTCGGCGGTGGACAAAGAGGGATCCTAACAGCCAGTGTACACGAAGTGCCTCCTGTGTACTCAGCACTGCTATAAATCCTGTACATGTGTGATGTCACTTAATACCCCAAATAATCCTGTGGACAGTGTCTTATTCCATTGTGTGACCAACGCTGACCAAGCAAACGGAGGTTAAATTACTTACCCAAAGTCACGCAGCTAGAAATCCAAGGCACTAAATGTCACACTGAGGTGTCTCACCGTGGAGTTGTCCCCAGGAGATCTGACGACTGTGGCCAAGGGCTGCGATAACCCAGGGTAGCGGAGGGAAAGGACCTCCTTCCTGCAGGACAAGTACTGCGGGTTCCCGGTAGTTCCTGGGCCCCCCTGAGGGAGAGGAGTCGGACAGGAACACGCAGGGCTGAGGCCCGCTGGCCTTTCTCCCAGCTGGGGCTAGGGGAGAGGCGAGGAGGGGTCTGAGCAGGGCCGCAACTCTTCCTTGGTATCTGAAAGGCTGGAGGCGTGCGAGAGCGCGTGCCACCGTGGCCAAGCGCCGTACTGTCCCTGTGCCTTGGCTGTACAGCCTGGAGACGGTGGAGGCGGCAGAGCCCGGGCCTTGGCTCAGGAGCGTCGCGGCCTTGGCCCAGTTACGATCTTCCCAGTGCCTTGATTCCTTGTCAGTTAAGTGAAGTTAACGAGCACCTATGTCCTTAGGGCTGGTGAAGTGTAAATACACTCGTCTATGGGAAGCATTCAGGAACGGGTAGAAACATGCCACAAGCAAACCAGGACAAGTTCATGGCGAGCCGCCACTGTCCCAGCACTGGGCACCGGCAGAGGCTCTGCTCGGCTGGGTGTGGACTTGCACCAAGCCCCCTGCCAGTGGGCCCTGCACAAATGCTCTTGGTGGAACGAATGTAAAGTTCGATCCCTTTTTCTTTAAAAAAAAATAAAAAATCAGAAAAACCTCAGGCCAGAGGGCTGAGGGCTGGGGCTGCAGGAGCCGAGTAACCCAGAGCCCCGAGGGGAGACCTGGCTCCACAGAGAGGAGAGGAGGCCTTGGCCCTCGCGGGGCAGGAAGGTGGCCCTCGCGGGACAGGTGTCCCCACATGCCACGGCAGCCATGGGATGGGGCCGAGGTCCTGGAGTGAGGCTGCGGGGCCGGACTGGGACTGTTGCCTTGTCACTGCTGAGAGCCACCGGCTTCCCCCTGTCTCGTCTCTGGTCTCTCTGTCTGTCTATTTAAAGTCACCCTGGTCAGGCTGGTACGATGCACCTGTCACACACGTGGATGAATAACATTTCCTGGCTTTTTGTTATTTTTCTTCTATTTTTCCTTTTCCTTGTCCACAGTTCACACAAATAATTCACTTGGTTTCCCTTGCTTGGGAAAGGCTGGCCGCAGCGGGGCAGGGGAGCCAGAAGCCGCCAGCGCACGCGGGGCGTTTGCTTCTGACACGGGAGAGGGTCTGCAGGGGGATGGCGCCTGCAGGGAGCAGCAGGGCACCGGGCCTCCCGCCCACCCCCGCGAAGTAGGACGTTCTTCCAGCCTGGGGGACAGTGAGACCCCGGAGAGGCGCGATATCGAAAACGCTCCCCAAGTCACAAGTCACAAACGTCCCACAGCAGCTGCAAAGGGCAAAAGGGACAGCCCCGTGGTGTGTGACCTGGGACTGAGGACCCCAACAGAGGCTGAGGTTTGAGTGGATGATGGCAGTTAACCGGGCCCTGCTCTTTGCTCGCGTCTGCAACGAGCTGAGAAACAACCAGAGGCAGCGGGACAGAGATGCAAATGGCTCATTGCTGATAAAAGCGGGTCCTGACTGCGCCCAGCCAGGGTGGGTGGCTTCTCCTGTCCCTTGCCCATTCTAGGCTGCAGGCCAGAGCGGGAGAACAGCCACTGTGCCCTGCAGCCAGCCGCCTGCAGAGAGGATGGTGCGTTAGTGAGAGTATCTGGGGTGCTTATACTTGTCCCAAGTATTGCAGTATTAGGGACAGGGCTGTACTGAAAAGTATTTGTTGCTTATCTGAAATTCAAACTGAACTGTGCGTCCTGAATGTCACCTGTGACAGCCAGGAGCTGGCTTCTCCAGGGGCAGAGCCCGATGAGATGGAGGCTGCGGTGGCAGGAGGACAGTGGCTGGGAGGACACGGACCCTGCATGAGCCCCAGGGTGCTGTCGTAGTGACAGGCCAAACTGAGCGGGACACAGGCCCTGCATGGTGGCCTGCAGCCAGGTGAGCGGGTTTGTCAAGGGACCCCTTGGCAGCAGCAGGCGGCACTGTGGCCCACTTTGGGTGGCGCCTGGCTTCTGTCTGTCCTGTCCCTGAGCACGCTGTCGGCTCACCCTTCCAGAGCCTCTGTCCTCTAGGCATGCGACAGCCATCAGTTCCTTCTTCTGGGCGTCTGGACCATCTTAAGTATCTATAACATGTCAGTACAGTCATTTATTTACATTGATGTCCCCTCCCCGTTCAGCTGAGTCCTTAAGGAGATGGAGCAGTTCGATCCTGGCTCCTGCTCCTCAGAGCCAGCGCCGGTGCGACAGCCATCGGTTCCTTCTTCTGGGCATCCGGACCATCTTAAGTATCTATAACATGTCAGTACAGTCATTTATTTACATTGATGTCCCCTCCCCGTTCGGCTGAGTCCTTAAGGAGATGGAGCAGTTCGATCCTGGCTCCTGCTCCTCAGAGCCAGCGCCGCGTGTCCCCCACCCTGGTAACAACTGGACCTCTTGCTCCAAGGAGGGAAAACACCTCTCTGGACTCACCCCAGGCTGCTTTCCTCGGCTCCCAGACCGCTGTCGGCCACGCCTCATCCCTCCATGCAAGGGACTGGGAACGTCTTCTCTGGGCCACCTGAGCATCCAAGAGGTGCCAAGAGAATTGCTGCCATTGGGGTCCCAGGTCACTCCACGCTGATGTCCACAGCTGCCAAAGCCCCACCTGTGCGTGCAGAGCTGCCTGTCATTGCCAACTTGCAAACGTGAGAGGCGACCCCTACAGGGGAACCTCTGCCATAAAGGAGGGGGGAAGAAAAGATAAAAATTTAAAAAGTAAGTGGTAAAAAGGGCCGGCCAGTTAGCTCACTGGGTAGAGCGTGGTGCTGATAACACCAAGGTCGAGGGTCAGCTGCCCCCCCAAACTAAGGAGACTTCATCATGAGAACAACAGACACTGTTCTTATATCCCCAGAGATAAAGGACTCTCTCAAAGTGGGGAGGGACATTCCTAGACCAAAACTCTTTTGCTTCTGGAGATTAAAAACATGAAAACATACACAAGGAAAAATGCAATAGAAGGTTAGAAGATGCAGTTGAAAATTGTTCTCACAAAAAGAAAAAAAAAGGTGAAAATAGAAGGGGAAAAGATAAAATTAGAGAGGCTGTCCAGGAATCCAAAAAAAGGAGCCCCAGGAAGAGTGACCAGAGAAACCGAGAGGCAAACGTCCCCAGCGGGACTGAGGACTGTCCCCGTCCTGAGGAAGGAGGCTGAGTTTCCAGGTTGCCGCGCCACCTCGTCACCAAGTGTCAGGACGCTGAGCACGGGACCCCGCTCGCTTCCAGAGGAGGGGACAGATGCCAGCCGGACCGGCATCCAGCAGATGGGGACGTCTGAACGGTAACTCTGGAATGGCCCCACACGTGCAAG